GGTAAATTAATCTGAATATTTAAAAACTTTTATTACTACAACTACCTTTCTGAGATTCGCATTGCACCTCTACGTCATTCAATGTCAGTCATTGAAAAAAGATCAAGCGTCCAATCAAATCACAGGCGACCCCGAAAAATTAGGAGCAACTTTTAAAATGTGAAGAACGCAAGGCGACTTTCATGTGCATGTACATGCGTTGACTGTATCCCGTCAATAACAATACTAGTCGAATACGTAGACTTCTACAGGGCCTTCTAAGTAATGCGCGCCGGGTATAATTCAAACCTCTGCCCCCATCGGTACCATTACCCCTAAAGCAAATCGTCTCCAGGAGACGAAATTGTCAATCCAGCCATTGTAGCCCGCTACCGTACAGTTACATCAGCGACCGTGGCATCAGTACCGAACACACTTAGGTTCCGCTTTACTTGCTACACTCCATTACTGGTACCTTGCATTGGATCCTTATGACGAATACATGCACAACCGAACATTGTCAATCCAGCCATTGTAGCTAGCTACCGTAGAGTGCATTGATCGGTGACAGTGGCAACAGTACCGAACACACTCAGGTTCGGCTTTGCTCGCTGCACTCGGTTACCTCGCATTGGATCCTTATGACGAATACATACACAAAACCGAATATTGTTAATCCAGCCATTGTAGCCGGCTACCGTACAGTTACATCGGCGACAGTGTCAACAGTACCGAACACACTCAGGTTCCGCTTTGCTGGCTACACTCCGTTGCCGGTACCTTGCATTGGATCCTTATGACAAATACATGCACCACCGAACATTGTCAATCCAGCCATCGTAGCTAGCTATCGTAGAGTTCATTGATCGGTGACAGTGGCAACAGTACCGAACACACTCAGGTTCGACTTTGCTCGCTGCACTCGGTTACCTCGCATTGGATCCTTATGACGAATACACGCACAACGGAATATTGTCAATCCAGCCATTGTAGCCAGCTGCCGTATAGCTAGTGGCAACAGTACTTGATTTGCGCATACAGGAAAATGGGTACCGACACAGGAATCACCACCAAAACAGTAGGAAATATCAAGAAGGGATGAATCCGGTAGGAGGATCCAGTCTCTTGTGTGTTGTCGAGTAGCTAGCTTCGCTCCTGTTCCCTTTCAATGAGTCGATGACGGTTCGTTCATGCTGTTGGTGGGGCTGGAGTTAACAGTTTCCTCCGCACACATACCTCCGTAGCGGTAGCCTCTTCTTCCTCGTGTTCTCCGGAGCGACCGATCGTTCGTTCGACAATGGGATTTCCTCGGCCATCAGCAGTACAGCAGAGAAAACAACAAATAGATATGAGTTTTGTTTTCTGTGCTCAACTGCAGACGACCGGAGACTTACCCTTGTTCTTCAAATTCAACCAACTTGGCCGTCATGGGCTGAGAACTGACTGCCATCCCATGGTCCATAGGATTCAATGAGGGATGGCTTTCGAATCTGCACCGACGACGACCGGCTTGAGTGAGGCTTGGATAATAGAGGTGCAAACGATCGACTCGAATAATTAAAACAACTCGCCTGTTGACGGCCGAGCTCGGAATTCTCTCCTGTTTACCATAGGAATTGAATGAGGGAGAGAAGTCAGCGCTGTACCTTCAAGTAACACTCTTGATAATAGACTTACCTCGAATCGATTCGATCGATCGGCCGATTGGATAAAGCACTCACCATGCATTGTTGTCGGCCAAGCTTGGATTTACCTCCTGTTTACCATACGAATTCAATGAGGGAGAGAAGTCTGTGCTGTGCCTTCAATAATGGACTTTCGCTTCGATCGGTTTATCCTTAACCTTAGTAACTTCAACGGTTCTTTTTCCACGAATCGATAAAACACGTTAAGTACAGGTTTGGTACTTAGGGATACACATGACCGTTGATTCTGCAACTGAAGTGCCGCTACTCTTTTTTCCACAGTAAACGCGGGCAAATCGATTTCAGAGTGCAACTGAGGGGGTAACCAAAAGGTGCGTCGTCTCCATGAGACGTAATTTTTGATAGAGTAAGCTCAGACCTACAGAGAAGAGCCTCAAAACATTGTTGCCGAAGTTCTTGCTGAAGTGTTTGATATGTATCAATGTCGGTCCTTGAACTCGGCGCATTTTCTTTGTCTGCCGATGGATGGTACGTTTGCACGTTTGCAATCGATTTCTTTATGTTTTCACTCAACTTAGACAGCAACTCGCTAAGAGGAGATGAATGGTCAAACTCATCTTCTGTGAGATACATGGCCTCGCGATCTGGAAACTCCCAGGTCTCTTTTTAAAGCGTATCAAAGTTGTCGGCGCTAGCTTTGCTCTTCCAGCCGTGAAACCATTCCTCAAATTTGGCAAGCCTTTCTCTCCAGCGGTTCGTTGCGGAGTAATTGTGTTGCTCTCCATCCGGATTTGAAAGAGCGAAGGAAGCCTCGTCGCGGTTGGACCCTTCGATGTCTTTGCTACCATTGGATTCCGACATCTTCTGCTCTTGTCATTGCGCGCCGGTTTGCTGCTGCTGTCACGCACAGTTAGCGCAGCATGTTTCTGGGCACGTCAACCCAAGCGGGCGGGCGTCCAGCGCGGCGGCCAGAAAGGCAAGATATTTTGGCGAAAGATCACAAATCTGTCCTTTAGAAGGTGTATGGATTGAAAGTTGGAAACCGACTGTTCGTGTGAAAGCTTTCTTTGGCGCTTTGTCTCGGCAAGTCAGTAGGAGCAGCTGCAAGCAACAACAACCATGACGACCGTAACGAATCGAACCTCTCCAACGATGGAAAGCAGCCAAGAGAAATCTGAAGAAGAGCAGGAGGCTCTCCTGGCTGAAGAAGGAAAAACGACAACTGAACCTGCTTCGGCGGTGCAGCAAATCAACCAGACAATTCCGCCTCAAGCGATGATTTACGTTTACATGGTACTATTCTTTGGGGGCATGATTGCTCATGAGGTCGCCTGTGAGGCAATAACCAACAAATTTCCCAAGTTCATCGTTGCAATCACATTGTTCCAAATGAGTTTCTGTGTCCTTGTGCCGCTGGCAATCGCCAAAGGGAAAGGCTTTGAAAACTTTCCAAGGACCCTCAAAGGTATTCTACCCTACGTCCACATTTCCCTTCTTGTGTTTGGCGCCACAACCCTGGCCTGTCAGGCTGCAGTTTACTTGTCATATCCTACCAAAGTTGTGTTCAAGAGTGCCAAGCTTGTCCCCACAATGGTAGTCGCCACGGTCTGGCAAGGTCAGCGATTCACCAATCTGGAATATGTTGCAGCTCTCCTTCTCTGTGCCGGTGCAGCTGGTTATTCTTATGGAAGTGGGGGCAGTCACAGCTCAGATGGCGAGGACGCAACGCCCACGACACTGGTAGTCTTGGGTATCGCCTTTATGGTCTGCAGTGTCTTCTCTGATGCCATCATTCCCAATTATCAGAAACTATTACTCAATCAAGGAGTTCCTGTCACCCAGCTGATGATCAATGTCAATACTATAGGTGCCGTGACTTCTTTGGCATACATAGTGGTGACAGGCCAGCTGTTTGCTCTCCTTGGTGCTTGGCATGCGCACCCAGAACTGTTGTTTTACTTGACCTGCGTGGGAGTTTCTCTTTCCATCGCTGTATGGGCGTACACAAAGCTGATCCAGGCTACTTCCTCAGTGGTGGCCGTGGCAGTTTCCACTCTTCGAAAGGTGGCAACTATGTTCCTATCCTACATCATCTTCCCCAAGCCACTGCTGACAATTCACATTTACAGTGGGTGCATGGTCCTGTTAGGTGTGATTCTTAGCACCGTAGCAAAGGAAAGAATGGACAGCAAGAAATAAATGAACAGTGATGGGTACAAAAACAAGGATGCCAACCGGTACACGGTTCGTCAACAAACGGTAACACATACCAATATATAGAAAATAACAGAGACGTGCCGGCTACAGCAAAAGTTGATACAATAATTGGTCTACGGAAGGCTCTTATCGTTTCTGGTACCGGTAGGAACAACTTTGATCTACGGAAGTCCACTCTCTTCTGAGTTCTCAGCGTTACGGTGCAAACTCTTTCAATTCAAACTTACATTCCATTGTAATAGTGCCGCTTTCCACACTTGGAGCACCAATTGATGCTATCATCATCATCATCGTCGTCGTTCTCGCCTGGCAAGGGGGTGCCTTTTTCCATGTGCTCATCCATCCAATAGTCTCCACCCTGGCTCCAATCAGAAATGTGGCTACCTTCAAAGCAGGGATCCTCATCCTCGTCTTCAATATTTTCGCAGCCAGGCCACTGGAACCGATCGAAGCCCCCATCAGGCCCACGACCAATGTTTATCATTCCTTCTGATTCATCATGCACATCAAACTTGCAGTCTTTGTTTCCGGCATAATTGGGGTCGTAGTCTTCGTGGCATCGGACACAATGCAAGCGTCGATTGCTTTGTTTCTTTAGAAGCTTTGCTGCGTGCTTACATACTCTTGGACAGTGACGGATGCCCATCTGCGCTAGCTCCAACAGCTGATCATGGCGTAGCTCGGAGGCCTCTTCCGCAACGGATTCGGGGTCCACATCACCACCCTCTCTCTTGCGCTTGGAATCGGGACGACTTGCCATGTTTGATGATTGAACGATCGATCGATTATTGTGAAGCAAATTTTATGAGAGCAAAAGAACATCAAAACGATTGTTAAAATTATGGGATTGGTGCAAACGGTGTGGCACTTTTCCGTTTTCAGCTGGTCCATAGCCATACAAGGTCGGCATCAAGGATACCGCGTGAACCACGAGAGTATTCCACGATTGTTTTCAATAGAAATGGGGTCAAACTGCAAGCGCTGAGTCAAACGGATGCGTCCTACCGCATACACGACATTGCTTCTACAAGCAAAAGAAGCACCAGTGCAGATTTTGATACGCAGCGGTTGTCTTACAAGTCTACTTCGACAAATAGACCCTCTAGAGCAAGTGAAAAAACCAACAGTTAATTGCCTGTGTTACATGCATTGGTTCAATGACTTCAACTGTTAGAAGTCAATCTTCCCATCTACTATGAAATTTTTGATTGGTGTTAGCTCCCTACTGTATGCCAATACATTCTCCATCACCACCCAATAACAGTTTCAACACTTGCTCACTAAACTGTTCTTCCGTAGCTGTCTCGGTCTTTTGGTACCGACAACCCTCACCAGAGGATGACAGGAGAGCTGGCCGCAGCTTGAGTGCCAGCAAATGTTTGCAGACCATGTAGGAGGTAGAAGCTTGGGGACTGTTCATTGTGGTGGACTTTGTCTTTTCAAAATAGGCCCGACAACTGCAAAACAAAAATCCCTTGCTCTTGTTCGTCACGCTGTCATTCTTTGGGCTGACTACTGGTACCGGAAGGAGACAAAAGTACTTGCTGGGTTCTTCTTGTTCGGATCTTCGTCGTCGTTGCTGCTTTTTGGTCAAGACAAACATGCGTCGTCGGGAAGTGACTGCTTGAATTTCGGTAATCGAGTCCGATTCCAACGTGGTCAGAGCACCTTCCAACAGAGATGCTCCAAACAACGAGTCGGCCACGCGAAGTGTCAGCATTTTTCGCTCGAGAATGGCCGTGTCATTGGACTCTTCGTCTCCTAGTTGTTGTTGCTGTTGCAGGAAGGTGTCCAGCGCAATGATTGGATACAGTGCGGACTGTGGGGGCCGTAGAGATGTCATGGCAATGATCTGATTGCTCTCTACCAGTACTGTACTTGTTCTTTGTCAATGAACTAAAAGACAAAGGACGGCTTGTCGAAGGCAAGGGTCGCCATTGTGGCGGCAAAAAGGCTGGCGTGGAAGCCAATCACGAATTTCACGGGGCTCATGGATCTCTAATCACAGGTTGGCAAGACTCAAAGATCCAAAAGGTTCCCGGCCTTCTCATCCATTCGTCGACAACAACAACAAACAACAACCACCTGATAACAACAACAAGATGTCCTTTCTCAGCAGAACGCTCGCTACCACCTCGAGGGGCCTCCTCCAGGGCCGCTCAAGCTTCCTCGCTACAGGTCTTCGGCAGCAGAGCCGTTTCATGTCGATGATCACCCTCGAAGGTTCCGAAGAGATTGAGAAATTCAGAATCGTCAACGCCAAGTCCGTCCTCTAGTAAGTACTTACTCGTGAACTTGTTTTCTTGGAGGGATCAGCTGTTGGTTATATTCAGATAGATGGTTTTAAAATCTTGTTGCGAAAAGTGGAAAAGAGCGGTGCCATTGCTACCAAATATCTTGCATTTTACACAAGTCTCTCATCCGATCCTCCCCCCCCCTCCTCCCTCAGTTTCACAGCAGGTTAGTTTCTCAGTTAATTTCAATGTCTTCAACTTTTTCCATTTGGATTTCGAAGCTGATTCCTCCATCTTCTGTTGTTCAGTTTGGTGTCCTCCGTGTAAGGTACGAACTGATGGTGTCACAAACGAATTCTGTGGACTTCTTGGCATCGATCCAGTGCACAGCAAATTTGTTTTCTATCAACTAACAGATCATATTCTTGGATCCATTGTTTTCAGGTGATCAAACCAGTCTATGAGAATATGGCCAAAGAAAACGAGGATGTAGCCTTTGGATTGGTGGACGTCGACGACAATTCGGATGCTTCCTTGGAATTCGAGATTACCGCCGTTCCTACCTTTATCTTTTTCGACGGAGAAAAGCCAGTGGAGAAAATGACTGGAGCCGACAAAGCGACGCTGGAGCAAAAGCTTGCCGATTTGAAGGCACGATAAACAAACAAACAAATACTGCATCCAACAATCTGCTTGTTCCAAGGAGGCCAGTGAGAGTTACCTCGAGATCTGTGGCTTGGATTTGCAGCTACCGTCGAGGCTCTCTGCACTTGCCGCCTCGATTGAACCGGTCTAGTTTCAGACACTTCAATCTGCAGGGCATACATAGCTGGAGTATCTATAGCAGTATTATTGTTTAGATGCAAATGATTAATCTACTTCTTCTACACTGGGACCAGCTCCATCCACATCTTCTCCCAGGAAATCGTCGTCATCTGGAGCATCGGCACCACCGCCACCACTGTTGGCGCTCTCGTAGGCTGCCTTGATGATGGGATTGGCCACTTGCTCCACCTCCTTTTGTTTGGCATCATATTCCTCCTTCTCGGCTGCGGGGTTGTCTTCCAACCAAACCAAGGCATCTTCTACGGCCTGTGTTAGTGTCTCCGAATCACTCTCAGACAACTTGTCCTTGAGCGATTCGTTGATGGAACTCTTGAGGTTGTACAAATAGGCTTCCAACTCATTGCGTGCCTGAACTTTGCCCTTTTCCAGTTCATCTTGTTCCGCAAAGTCTTCAGCCTCTTTGACCATGCGTTCAATCTCTTCTTCGGAGAGGCGACCCTTTTCACTAGTAATGGTCAAGGATTCCGACTTGCCCGTTCCCTTGTCGGAAGCCGAAATGGAGAGGATACTGAAGACAAAAGGCGAGACGAGATTAGAGTACTGTGCATGCTGCTGAAAGACTGAAGCGAGGGACACTTACCCATTGGCATCCACATCGAATGAGACTTCAATCTGCGGTACACCCCGAGGAGCTGGCGGAATGTTGCCCAGTTCAAACTGGCCCAGCAGACGATTGGATTTTGTCATGCCGCGTTCGCCTTCAAAGACTTGAATGTTGACGCCAGGTTGGTTGTCCGCATAAGTACTAAAGACTTGTGACTTTTTACAGGGGATTGTTGTACCGCGCTTGATCAATGTTGTCATGACTCCTCCAGCTGTTTCAATTCCCAAAGACAGAGGGGCAACATCCAAAAGCAAGACATCCTTGGTAGCTGCCGATGCATCTCCACTCAAAATGCCACCTTGAACCGCCGCACCGTATGCCTAATAAGGGGTCAACCACACGAACCAAATGTCAAAAGTTAGGGACCTGCCAACATTTCGTTCTTTGCCGGCATTCTTAGTGTATTGTTGAATGTGCTTGAATTTGTATAGTATGGACTTACCACAGCTTCATCAGGGTTGATTCCTCGGTTCAGTTCCTTGCCGTTGAAGTACTCAGTGAGCATTTCTTGCACCTTGGGGATACGTGTCGACCCGCCTACGAGGATTCTGGTGACACACAAATGTAAAAGTTGAGATAAAGAATTGATCACGAAACCATCATTTATCATGGACACAGCAGCAAACATAACTCACATTTGATCCACTTCTGCTTTGGACACTCCAGCATCCTTTAATACTTGGGTCACTGGTGTCATGCACTTTTTGAAGAGATCGTTGTTGAGTGCTTCAAACTTGGCTCGGGAGAGAGTGGTAGAAAAGTCAATACCCTGATGCAATGCTTCGCAATCAATGGTCGCAGAAGTTTGAGTACTCAGCGTTCGCTTGGCTGCTTCGCATTGTTTGCGCAACCGCTGAATCGCCCGTTGATCATTGACCTCAATCAAGTCGATCCCTGACTGACGTTTGAATTGTGAAATGCAATAATCGATGGTACGCTGGTCAAAGTCTTGTCCTCCCAAGTGTGTATTTCCTGATGTGGCTCGAACTTCAAATACCCCCGAATCAATGCTCAACAAAGTCTAGAGAAAACAAACAAACAAAAAAGGTGCATTAGCATCCAACTCTTGCCTTTCCATCACAACAACCTGGTTGGTTCCATACGGTACGTACACAATCAAAGGTACCACCTCCCAAATCAAAAACGAGGATTGTTTCTTCTTTATCTTGTCGATCCAATCCATATGCCATGGCTGCTGCCGTGGGTTCATTAATGACACGTTCCACGGACAACCCCGCAATTCGTCCGGCATCTTTGGTAGCTTGTCGTTGTGCATCGTTGAAATAGGCTGGTACGGTTACGACGGCGTGTTTCACGGGTTCCCCCAGATACGTTTCGGCAATTTCCTTGCACTTTCGCAGTACCATGCCCGATATTTCTTCCGGTGTGAATTTCTGATCCTTTCCATTGACCGGAACCACCAAGACGGGTTTCCCGTCCTTGGAAGATTCCATTTTGTAGGGAAACAATTTCTTATCTGCTTGGACTGTATTGTCGTTGAATTTTCGTCCAATCAATCGCTTGACATCAAAGAGAGTCCCTGTTGGATTTTGGGACGCTTGATTCTTGGCAGAATCTCCCACCAGTCGAGCGCCTCCATTTTGTGGAAACGCCACGTAGGAAGGAGTGATTCGGTGACCTTGTTCGTTCGGTAAGATATCGACCCGATCATTTCGCCAAACAGCAACACAGGAATAGGTGGTTCCCAAATCAATACCAATGCAGGGTCCTTGAATCTTGGATTGTTTGTTGGAGTTGTCTCCGCCGCCACGGATTTGTGTGAGGGATGACAGTGTCTTGGGCGAAAAAGTAGGACGCGATATTCCCCAACGAGCTTCTCCCAGGGAGAACAGGGTCGCCACTAGGCTCAGTACGGCGAGTGTATTTGTCATGGTGGTTTCTTATTGACTAATAAATAAATAATGAATGTTGAGTATTAGTTTGATGGAAGCCCCTTTGCTTTTGAAACAGTGGATTAGATGTGGTCCGAAATGTATCGAAAGCCAAAGATCCCTCCCAAAATGAGATTTCCACGTGTCGTTTCGGATTTTGACACCAAATCCGGTGTCCCTAACTCTACCGTATCCCGAGAATGACATGCAAAAGCCAATGGAGCTGTGAAGACTCTAATAAAAACAGTATAAGGGGGTTTTAGAGTAGGGAAATTATCTACGCTGATTATTTACCACATGTATGCACTCTGAGCTTTGACTTGCCACTTACGGTTGTTTCAATCTGTGGCAACTCTATTTCGACTCTTTGGCCTAGATCTAACTGACTCGACTCATCAGTGATGAGCTATGAAACTTGACCTTTGTGCCTGCAGTGCGTCACCGAAGATTCCAATGCATGAGTTGATGAGGAGGTGGGTAGTTTGCTTCTCTTGAGGCTTTCAGGATTTCCAGGTGCTCTAATCGCATATGGGAGGCAGCAGGGTAGGGCCAGGAAGCAAAGTCTTGACTTCACCAAGAGGGCGCCCCCGAGGTGCATAATGCAGCAAGAAAGCATGGAGTAGTTGCCATCACTACTTTTGTAGTTGTGGAACTACCAGTACGGTACCGATAGAGAATGCAGTCGCTGGGATTTGCTGATGACACCAACCTCTACCAGTAGAGGTAGCTACCGGTAGCTACAGTGGAAACTGTTTGATGCCCCCCCGGTTCATCTACATGTACGGTCAACCGTCATCTGCTCTCTTATTCTTCGGAACAAAGTTGGATCTAAAAGCAGGTAGAGCCAGGCAATTGCAACAACTAGCTAGCTAGCTAGTTAGATCTAACTAAAATATGATACCCACTGGTCGGATCCTTTCAGAGACACCATTTTATTAGAACTTTGTTTGACAGGCAACAGATGGTCTGCCGATCTGACAAAAAGATACCTTTGTGACCTTCTATTGCCCCGATCTTTCGTGCCGGATGATCGGCTGGCTGACTGCGAACAGAACTGCGAACCGTGTGCGTTGGCTGCTCACGTTGCCTCGCCGGGGTACGTACCAAAAGTACAGCAAGCCACCAAGACTCACCAAGTCATTGGGCCGTTTGGTATCCTCTCGGCGTGGTACGAACGCGTCGTCTTCTTGCGAGGTGTCAGCCATCATCAGAACTCCCAAGTGTTCGGACAGAACTGTCATTGCTCGAGTGTTGTTCCTCTTGCTTGATGCCAAACCTGTCTGTGTCAGACCTTGACAGTACACCAACAACCCAATCGAAAAGCATTCTTACTTTTTCTGTTCAGATCCATTTCATTTCCTTACGTTTCATTTGTTGGCAACCAACCTCCTCCCGATTATAAATTATCTACTATCAATATCAAGATGTTCCTTACCCGTCAGTCTCAAGTAATCTCCTGTCTCCTCATGATGGCCATGGCCTCGGCATTTGTGACCGCACCATTGAAAACCAAGCAAGCGCTGGCGCGATCGTTGGAGTCATCGACATTGCTCAAGGATTCCGAACGGGACGAAGCAGCCCCTCTTCCCCTGAGTACCGCCGACCTGCAACGGCTAATGTCCATGAAATCTCGTCACATGACCATTCCACTGTTGATCATGGATGCGGTGGTACCAGGTCAAACTATTTCTTTCGAAAGGTGAGAAGAATACGGTAGGAGCAATCAATCCACGAACGTACGAAATGCGGAGGATTATCCTTTTATCATGAGCGAGTGCCTAACTTTATTTCCATTCCATTCGATTCCATTCTACCTCATCAGCGCTGATCCCAAGTTTCTTCATCTAGTCAACCATGTTTTGGAAGAAGATTCAGAAATTGGAATGATTGGTCTGAACCCTCATACAGGACAACCTCTCAATGTAGGAGTCACTTTGCCAGTCTCACCAGAGAATGTCATGTTCAATCCCAACACTGGAGCCGTCACTGTTCACGTGCAAGCCAAACGCCGATTTGAAGTCCAAGGGGAACCTTGGTTGCATCACAATGATGATGATGAAGAAGAAGAGGATGAATTGCCTTCTTCCTCCTTGGAAGCGGCATTCTACATGGCCGATGTCGAACTTATCGAGGACCGTCAAGAGGAAGCTTTGGCCGACGATGTCGCCGTTGCGACGCAAAATTTGGCCGATCAAATTCCCGACTTGGTGGGCGAATGGGTCCACCATTTGGTGGCTACCAACCGTGCCGAAGCCTTGCGCATGGAAAGTCGCATGATGGAACTGGGACCACTCCCATCGTCGTGGAGAGATCAGGCACTTTGGGTGGCTGCCTTGTTGAATCCAGCGCAGGGTGCCAAGACGGAAGAAAAGGTGTGTTTGGAAATTCGTCCCGCCATGTTGTCGTGCCATACGAATTACGAACGAATGGTGTTGGCCACGGCGGCCTTGCAATCGAGTATTGACCATGTGTCGGGAAAGAAACGACTCTTTTAAGGAGAAAAATGGAAATAGAGAGAACCAAGAAACAAAAAGAAGGTTGCCATAGACCATTTCATCGGATCATTGCAATGTTACGAAGGTCAAGACAACGCCCAGAAAGCGGACAGGGCCTGTCAGGATAGCACGCAATGTTCAAGAAGGCCAACCACCAAAAACTACTACACGTCAACAATTTTAAACCACGACGACTTGGGGCGGGAAGGTGCAGCACAACAACTACGTGTACTGTTCAATAGAGACAACACTGCAACAGGAGACACAGCCACTTTTTCACAACCGGGTTCATGATGTTATAACGAAGGACACACAGCACACAAAATCACACGTCACCAAGAAAAAAGAAACAAAAACTGTAATGCAACCAGAGCGGGGCATTGGTGGTATTCACCAATCTCTGTTCTTGGTTTCTGTATAACTAACTAAAAAATAAGATTTTTCACTCTTTCCCTGAACTGAACCCTGAGAGCGGATATGTTGTTCATGGAGGAAGCAAGCAAGTCAAGAGAGGCATTCTGTTATTGGCGATTGATTCGATGGAGCGGGCCAGTGAATTTGGTGGATTGATATCCGATTCGATTCATTCTCGTTGCACCCTCGGAAGAAGCCGGTCCAATGCAATAAACCATTGCATCTCCCATGTGACGACTGCACTGCAAATTTCTCCACATGGCTTTGTGCGTGGATGTCATGTGAGAGCGTGACGTCCTCTGCAAATTCGACTTTTTGGTATCCCGTTGTCGTTTTGGGCAAACAAACAAGTTGCTATGTGGCGGGATACAGTATATACCCAAACAGGAAAAACCCAAGTCTTTTTCCCATGTTGCCGGTTGTAATCATGTTTGTCGGCACGTCTCTGGCATTTCAAAATCAAACAAAAAGTAGTCCACCCTGACAAATTGACAAATGCGCTGGAGGGTGGCATTGGATAAGAGATGTTTCTTTTTGGGAAAGTAGTCTACTTTAGCGACATTTTGAGATGCCTGATTGCCCGCATCCATGGACGTATTGTACTCGAGTCCAACCAGACGAAAGAGTTCGGGAAGTTCTTGGAGATCCCCAATCAGGGTGACCCTGGGATCAAATAATAATGTTCCACCATCATCATTAACCCCTATCAGAAAATTGGCTTGTGGGACGGAATGAAGGGCACACGTACAGAGCCTTTGTCTCTCACAAGGTCCCTTTTGGAAAACGGTTTGTTGAATGCTGTGGTCGACTTCCCAGAGCCATTGTCGTATGCGAGAGTCGTAATCGAGTGTCTGATTGTATTTGCCCATGACCTTGGGGAGACGAAATCCACATTCTTGCCATCCCGCGAGCCAGTGGTCGATGGGATCTCGCACAGTTGCCACAATGGTTCGATTGCCCACTTGTTCCGGCGTCGACCGAGTTAATCCAGTTTGGCGTTCCACGGTGGTTCCTCCATTCTTGTAAATGTGTCGAAAAGCAAATTGTGGATTGAGGTTAAAGGCATAGAATTGTTTGGTGAATGGGTCCATACTATAAAGTACATCCTCTGGAAAGTTGGATGCCAGGAGGTCCTTGTTTCGGTGGAATTTTTCTTGGTGGCGAGCGGACAAGCGCATCTGAAGCTTTGCCATTTCTGGTAGAAAAGGGGCATTGGAAATATTCTTGTTGGCATCTTGCGCATCTTCTCCTTTTGTTGATGCTGCTGTTGTAGGTAAGGAATCCTGTAGATCAAGATGAATCTTGGAGCTATTGCTGATGCTCGCTACCAAGCTACCAATTGCCACTTCCACTCCAAAAAGCTGCTGCCTCTCCCGCACAAACCCAAAGATTTCCAGGAAAGCAATGGCAGACACCAACACAACGACTGTAAGGCTTCTCGCGTCGAATGGCTTTGTATGAAGCTTCCTTCTTCTGATCAACCTCACCATGGTCTGCTCTTGTTGCTGTTGGTGTTATCTCTAGAGGCATGCTGCTGGCATGGCTTGCCTACGGTAGCTTGGGCTGGGTGGACAAGCCATTGTACTGGTACTAGTAGCGACATCGCCAAATTGTGTGGCTGTTGGTGGGATTGATTGCAGGCACCCCAATGACACTGCCCCGGTAAACTCCTATCCCTAATGTGATAAGGAACGAATCACTAGGGATCCGTGAAAGGACCCCTGCAGCAACGCAAGGATGCGTCTGAATGCCAATCAACAATGGCAACCATAGAGTTTCGTTGAGTGTTGGTCCAAGTTACCGTCCTACGTTGTATTTCTCTCTTTAGCTATAACTAACTAGCGCTCTGCAAGACAATGGGTGGCGGTGGCTGGTGGTATGTACCAAAGGTGAGTATGTATCTCAGTGGTGTGATTTTGTTTGCTTGAAGAGAATGAAAGTTGATGATTCAACGATCGATTAATGAAGAGGCCTTCCGATGGATTGGCTCTCTTTTGCTTCTGATTACACTTTGCAAAATCCTGATTTCTACCCCTCTGTTGTGCAGTCTTGCGCCTCTAGTTTCATGGATTGACTGCTCACCTACCCCTGTTCTTTTGTTTGTTTGGTTGTCGTGCCGTTAGGTATGGTCTCCTTCGGGAGGTTGGTGGTGTAATCCTCCCAATTGGAAGCGAAACACCGCCGTTGGCTACTTGGTAGTAGGCGTGTTGACGGCCTGTGTCTTCAAGATCTCGGCCGACAATGAACGTCGACCGGTCCCTCCCCGCGTCCACATTCCCAGTCAATACTGGTGCAAGCACGCCAAAGAAGATGACCCACGTCTTGCCTAACTTATTGGTTTCCGACGATTAATTGGCCCCATCTCTCTCAATTTCAATGTTACGTACTACTAATAACTACCATAACATGAGTAATCTACCAAGAGATTACAATTCAATATCAATTTACGGTTGTTTGTCATCTGCTAGCTCTAGCTAGAAGTGGAGGTTCTCAAGTAGCTAGCTAGAGACAACAGATTTTCAAAACGGTCGAGTTCGCGTGACGTTCCCGACACACTATAATAGATCTAATTATTTGTTCGTGTCTAGCTAGCTGGCTGCAATACTGCCGGAAATCTCATCCGAATTGCAACTACGAAGTCGAGCACTTGCGCCCTGCCCTCACACTCGCAGGGGATCCACAAGAGTTCGCGCGCCCCAAAAGAAATACAGGCCTCTGCCAAAGAGCTCATGGCAGCACGACGTGAAGCTCAGTCGGAATGCCCCCGAAGATTTGAAACAAGCTCGATCGATTGAGACTCAAATGATCGTGCTTATGGTGTTGCGCGTTTTGGCCGGCCTGTCATGTCATGTACGTGCGCTACATCGTAGCTTTTCCCCGCGCCCGTATGACATCCCGAGTCACTCTCAATGCGGCGACACATGCAAGAAACGGGAGCTTGTCTGGTGTTGTTGATTTTGCAGTACCGGTAGGAACGAACGTTATCAAACAATGAAGATTCGTGCTCGGATTTGTCTGATTTCGCCTTCCAGTCAGCGAAGGCCATTCCTCTGCTCGGGACGCATCGGCTGAGCCGAGTCGAGTCGGCATGCAATGGGCTCGTTCGGCATCAATGCGTAATCGATCATTATTTATCCATGGATTGTCGCTCTTATTAGCCCGTTCATCAGGAAACATTGGGTAACGCAGAAGCAACATCCGAATGCAAATCAACCAATACCGTATGATGAAGCTATCGCTACAGCCGCGAAGGGCCCCACAATCAAAGAGAGCCAGTCTTTTCTCTATCGACTGAGTCACTCCTATGATCGACATGCCAGTAAACCCATGATCTTGAAGGTGTTTCCGTTAACCAGTGTAATTGCCAAGCGTAGCTTTGATATCCTGTATTCCGATGGAAGATGGATGGTGTGATGATACGTTTCACTTGTATTCTTGGAATGGTAACCAACAAACTCGTTCGATAGTAGTGTTTTCCAATCTGAAACCGAATCTGAGGCTTCGGCCGAATCGCTCGCCAAGACATCCAATCGTACTGTGCTGTCTGCCCATCTTTCACCATAGCTCTTCATATAAAACAATGTCACGCTGTTGATTGGTACTCCAAGCCGGACCAGCTCCACAGAAGAGATCGGTGGTGGAATCTCCAGCAGCAGTTTTGACCCAACACCATTTTGTGGGCAAACACCAGTCTTGCCGTGATCTGACTGGAACGCCCAACTACTTTTGCTCTCGTCATTTGCAGAACCCCCAAAGCCGCTAACAGTGTGCGCCTTCCAGTATGCTTGATACGCAACATCTCCCTTTTTGTGCAGGGTCTCCGTTACGTTTGGAATCGCAGCCGGACGAATCCGGCTGACCCACGCAAAGGGACATTTTGCCCCTGCAGAACAGACTTTGGTTGATTGCTGCTGTACTTGGTTCTGGAGCAATGAGGATTCTTGTTCCCACTGTTCCGAAACCCTTTCCAAGGACAACTCTTTGGTCAGGCGAGGAGGCAGGCTTCTTGGTGGTGGCTTGGGCTTTCCGCCCGGAACGTACTGTGTATCCCCTCGCAGGGGGGGCATCTGTGATAGGACTTGTCGTGTTGTTTCATAGGATTGCTCCAGTATATCACGATCGCCACCTTTGTTAGCATGTCGCCATGGTTCTAAACTGCAAAACGTTGTTGTCATATGCAGCAAATTGTAGGCTGCAACCCATGTTGCTACAATATGCATTCCCAGTTGTGGATGAATCTCCCTCTCCATAGCACTGTTCTTGTTCGGGTACCATCCTGCTGGTGAGAACCATGATTCATGGGTGTCCCCATAAACCCAATCTCTTACAACATTGACATAGGACATGGATGCAAAGCCATAATATCGAGCCAAAGACTGCACTGTTGATGATCCTTCCAACGTTCCTAGGATTTGACGTTGCTCATTGCCCATGTAGTCATCAAAGTGTACAACCAAAGGGGGTACAGATGTTGACTGTTGCTCCTCAGCTGTTGATTGTTGGTCGCCATCTGCTTGACAATCCTGTTGTGAATGCCTCATCATCGTGGCATTGCGATAAAAGTCTTCTACCATGACGCGTATCTGATCACCAAGCGTCAAGTTGCTGAGTTGAGCTTCCTGTATGGTAAAGGAATGCATGTCGTTGGTGGAGTAGCCATTGATGATGATGTCAGGATGTTGGGCCGCTTGTGGCGGCAACAATTCAAACTGCAGCAGGGTTGTTCCAGTGGCTGAATTGGTCCCGCCAATCCCAATGTGAGTGACCTCTACAAGAGGTACCTGAAAGAGTTGATTTATAAATGCCCCCAGTCGATGTCCCCAGCAACAATCACGAAGTGGAAGAAAAAGGTCTTTCATTTGCAATTGGTTGACCATTTTCCGGCTTTCGAACAGAAAACACTGGTCAATTTTGAAAAAGTACTGCAATCCAGAGAGGTGCACTCTGAAACACCTACCAGTTCGTCCCTTGCATTATCGATCCTCCGAGAATGATGATCTGTACTGGTCGAGGAATGTTGTCTTTGTCACTGTAGTCATCAGCCACTCCTGCCGGATGAGCCTTTTCATGCACCAGTGCTTCTGGATGCCTTTGAAAATACTCAAAACGCTTCCATGCCACATCCATGATGGATTGGACCGATTCCCAAGATCTTGGGATGGTCTGAACCGACCTGGGTAGCCGTGATGAAACCAGTTGTAATAAGTGTGCCGTGAAGTCATGGAACAGATATTGAAAGTCATTGGGAAGTAGATTGGTAGCAGAATGAATCTCTCCCAGGCGTTGTGTCCAAATAAAGGAAGCAGAAGGTATCAGGAAATTTGTGTCACTGCTGCTGTTGGCTGCAGGTCCTGGGACAGCCACTTCCTGCAGCTTCCCACAAACTGGATGCCTTTTCAAGCTCTCCTTTCCGTAATCAAGTCTTTCTTTCATCCTCTGATTGGCGTCCTCGTTTGTGTTGGTGGTGTCACCTGATTTTGACTCTTTTTTTTTTAGTTCAGAGGTACATGCTGACAACCGTTGTTGAAGATTTCGTACTTCTGCTTGCAACTTTTGGATGTCATTGTGAAGATCCTCGATTAGTGGCATTCCATTAGTTTGATTTCTCGAGATGGTTTCGCTTTGATGCTGAAGACAAGAGGGAATAGTAGAAGATGATGCCACTGGCCAAAAACTTGGAGACACCAGTCGATCACGCAACAGAAGCATCCCCATTAAACAGCAGAGCGCCAACAATGGCATGTTTTTGTAGGCTGTCTTTTTGTTGTTGGCAGGGGTAGCTTTCCCTACTTGATTGAAAATTGTTGACACTCCTTCTGCGCGAGCACTAGTGCTGCCGCCATTCATAGCAGCGACTCGTTTGCTGTTGCCTTGCATTTTCTCATGTACTTCTACGTCAATTATATTGATAAAGCCCAGCCAACCACTGAAGTCCTTGAGCATGACAGGGCCCTTCCCTCAATCGTCACGGCACAGCGGCACAGCATCCAACTCTTGCTTGAATGGGTGGGTAAAAAGCTTTTGGACACCGGTACCAGGTACCAGGTACCGGTATCGGTACCGGAACGCCAGGTACATGTACCCGTACCGGACGGCTTGCTCTACCATTGCAGCTGGCTTATTTGTTGCTGGAATCGAATCAAATCTGTGCTTAGTCTTTCACAGCTACTTTCACACGGTACATACCAGCCTGGTACTGGTACGAAATATCTACCATAAGAATGAGAGTGGGGAGTAGCTTTCGTAAAGGTACAAGAGCAATGTATACAAGCTTATATCGTCCAGAATGTTCAAGGGGGAGGCGAGCCTGCGAGCTGACCCCGAGGCAGCCACCAAGCTGGCTGTCGTTTGGGTACAAGAGCAATGTATACAAGCTTAGATTGTCCATGGTGTTCGAGCTTTTCGTTGCCAATGTGCATGGAGACGACCTCGATGGCTCTTAATAAATATAAGAGAGAGTACACTGTACAATTAGACTGTGAATCATCTAGAACGTTGGTGAAGCAGGTGCCAATAGTCTCTCTTTAGAAAACCTGTTGCGGGTATCTGGCTCCTTGGTAGCGGTCGCGTGTGCCAGTCCCGCTTTCGGCTCTTTTGCCATAGTAGATAACAGTTTTGCTTCCACCTTTCCCTAGCTAGGTACATGTATCGGTAACGAAGCACAATGGACGCAAGTTAGTAACCGATCTTGCTGTTTTCGATCTGCATCTAACGGTAGGTCTATGGCTTCGGTACGGCAGGCAGCGTCGTCTAGTGTATTCCAGAACCCTGCCGTAGCTCGTACATTATCTATCATACACGGTTATGCATAGCTCTTTGTACCGGTCACGCCTCAGAAGCGACCTCCGGTCGTGATCATGGGAAAGGGTAAAGCTTGCAGCTTTGCCCCGTACAGAGAACTCCAGCCTTTCTTTTGTCTCTCTCTCGCAAAAAAGTAACAGAACTCTACGATGTCTTGGATTCGAAGAAAAGTGTTTGTGTCGGTGGTTTTGTTTGCCGCTCTATCTGCCCTGGGGTTTGTATCTCAGTCACGCAAATCCTTCTACTCTCTGAATGGAGTCCAGAGCATCAAACTCGCGAAGAATGTGGAATCACCCACGTGCGACAGCATAGACGACAAGAAGATAATGATTACTGGTAAATTCTTCCCGATTACTAGTATATTCTTACCCTCATATGCCCACCCACATGTGAGTGAAGGGAACACAATTTTCGTCTGGTGGTTTCTCGTCACCGGGGACTTTGGCAATGATCTGAGCCGCTACTACAGCTGGCGAATACTGGCAGAACTGGGAGGGTACAACTTGGAGTTGGCCACTCCTATTTGGTCAATTCACGATTCCTTTCTCGTGTATCTGCCAACCCGTGCACAGGCCAAGAAACCAAAACAAAGGGTGCTGCAAAAATTTCTATGTGTCTGCCCCCAGGATATCTCGTTTGTTCATGAGTGCGATTACGGTGTGCCGGATATAATTCCGACCATTCGAAGAGAAGTCAGAATAGCCTTGCAGCAGTATGCAGATGCAAAGTTCAAGACTAAACGCCTCAACAATCTGCACGGATGGGGAAATGAAAGGAGGTTGTTCTGGAATATCTTTTCGGGAGACAGCCGTCAAGAGAGCAAACGACAGCTTCTTGGACAATTCTATGACAAAGATGATTGGCTCATTTATGATAGGTGCCAAATCCTAGATCACGTTTTGCATGGATTTGGCACTCTGTCTGTGTACGATGTGATTCCATCCAATGGATCTTTTACCATCTACTCTCTCAGTGGACGTAAGGAGGGCCTGGGAGTTCTCTGTGATGAATTGCAAGAGATTCGGAATGACTATATCCGATCACGCAACCCCAACGTAACCATTTTTGAACTGCAGGAGAGCAACCGAAACGTTGATTTTGGCCGGCTGGCCAACGCGCCCAACCTCTTGATTCCATCCGCGGGATCGACCTGGGCACTCTATGCGGCATTGGCCAATGTGGGCCGTGTGGTCATGCTTCCATTCCAGACTGACAACCACCGCTTGTCCTCCAAGTTGCCGCCCAACATAAAGGTGCTCCAAAATGCCACAGTGATCTACAATCCAAAGTACCACAAAGAATATGCGAAACTGCTAGGATTCAGCGATCCACAATACGCCACCACACCCAAAGGGAAGGAACTCTTGTTTGACTGTTATCGGAACTGTTGACTGTTGCCCAACCCTTTGGCAAATACCGTACGAGACAGCACCAGATGCAGTTTTGAGTACCATTGCCAATCTAGAAATCTTATCTTCACAATCAATCATCATCAGCAGCATGCAGGTCTTGGGATATCGGTCCGGTACCCGAGGTTCTGTACGCTACAGTAGTACTCTCATCGTACCCATACTGATCATCGCTCTACCATTTTTAATTTGCAGCTGGCTTATTCTAACCGCTGGCGCGTGCAGGACCGTCTTACGGTTTTCACGCAGAATTTATTTTAAAAAACGACCATTATTGGTTCTCTTCTCGGCTATCAGGGCATGTTTCAGGGCATGTTTATTTAGGGGCTTGTTAAAGAGAATGTTTTAGATTTAAAGGCTTTTTATGTGCATGTTTATATAAGGGCATGTTCATTCGTGATAAGGGCATGTTCTATGGTGTTTCAATGAAGGCTTAAAGTCATGTTTCGAGGCATTAGCGGTATGTTTTAACCCTCACGAGCTCACGAAAAAGGGACGGAAAAAAAAAATTTCTAAACAAACCCAGCGAACTCGTGGTTGGCGATTGGCGATTCTATTGGAAGATTGGAAGTACTATTAAATAGTTCGTCACATCATCGATCATGCTCAGTTATCGGTAGTGTTCAATCTACATGTAGCTCTTGGTACCGGTACCACCGCCTCAGCAGCGTCCTCTGGTAGTTCAGGTTCCACTTGTCGCTGAAAGGGTTCGTAGAACTTGAAGCTTTGTCCCTCCTTTCTTTTGTCTTTCCCTCAAAGAGAAATGTAACTCCAAGATGTCTTGGATTCGAAGAAAAGTGTTTGTGTCGGTGGTTTTGGTTGCCGCTCTCGCTGCCCTGCGGTTTGTATCTCGTTCGCGCTTCCACTCTCTGAATGGAGTTGAGAACATCAAGAAGACTGCGGAATCATCCAAGAATAAAACGTGCGACAGAATAGACGACAAGAAGATATTGTCTCCTAGTTTGTTCGCCCCCTCATATGTCCATCCACATGTGAGTGAAGGGAACTCAATGTTTATCTGGTGGTTTATCGTCACCGGGAACTTTGGCAACGATCTTAGCCGCTACTACAGCTGGCGAATACTGGCGGAACTGGGAGGATACAAGTTCGATTTGGCCACTCCTATTATGTCATATCACGATTCTTTTCTCGTGTATCTGCCAACCCATGCGCAAGCCAAGAAACCAAAACAAAGGGTGTTGCAAAAATTTCTCTGTGTCTGCCCCCAGGATATCTCGTTTGTTCATGAGTGCGACTACGGTGTGCCGGACATAATTCCGACCATTCGAGGAGAAGTCAGAATAGCCTTGCAGGAGTATGCAGATGCAAAGTTCAAGACAAAACGCCTCGACAATCCGCACGGATGGGGAAACGAAAGGAAGCTGTTCTGGAATTTCTTTTCGGGAGACAGCCGTCAAGAGAGCAAACGACAGATTCTTGGACAATTCTATGACAAGGATGATTGGCTCATTTACGATAGGTGCCAAATCCTAGATCACGTTTTGCATGGATTTGGCACTCTGTCTGTGTACGATGAGATTCCATCCAATGGATCTTTTACTATCTACTCTCTCAGTGGACGCAAGGAGGGCCTGGGATATCTCTGTGATGAATTGCACGAGATTCGGAATGACTACATCCGATCACGCAACCCCAACGTTACCATTTTAGAACTGCAGGAGAGCAACAGAAATGTTGATTTCGGCCGGTTGGCCAATGCACCCAACCTCTTGCTTCCATCCGCGGGATCGACCTGGGCACTATATGCGGCATTGGCCAATGTGGGCGGTGTGGTCATGGTGCCATTCCGGACTGACAACCACCGCTTGTCCTCCAAGTTGCCGTCCAACATAAAGGTGCTCCAAAATGCTACAGTGATCTACAATCCAAAGCTCCACAAAGAATTTGCGAAACTGCTAGGTTTCAGCGATCCACAATACGCCACCACACCCAAAGGGAAGGAACTCTTGTTTGACTGCTATCGGAACTGTTGACTGTTGCACAACCCTTTGGCCAATACGTGACAGCACGAGAAGCAGTTTGGAGTACCATTGCCAAACTAGAAATGTTATCTTCACAAACGAAGGTCTTTCGAACTGGTGGACATTGGTCCTATCGTAACGTAGAGATCCCTTTCTTGCGTTGTCTATCTTAGTTGATACAAACCTCGCCGTCCACGGTAGAACTCCACGATCTCAAACGAGAGTTTCGGTAGCAGCGAATCCCCGTCTCCTGATACCGGTACGGTACATTCCGGGACATTGATTGATACCGGTACCGGTAGTAGCTATGCATAGTTTGAAGCATGCAACATCACACAGACAACTCGATTCGAGTAATGCATTGGACGAGTTAGCGAAGTCCAACCAAGGGTGCTATTGTACTGCTCTGCCCATTCATCTGTTCCAGAACATGCCACCCGTTGTTATGCTACTGGCTAAGCCACGGTGTTTATTTAAATTATTATTGCTGTTTGGGTGACGCGATGACGTTTCTCCGTCGAAAATTGCAGCCAACCTCCATCACGCGTTGCCGTACCGGTACCTGGTACCGGTACCAGGTACCCCGCTAGCTAGCTAGCACAACTGGCAACAGCGCAAACAACCACAGCGTCGGTTCTTACCAATGGAATCTCTTGAAAAATGAGGCTAATACCTGAATTATTCCACCATGGGTTTTGGCATGATGAAAACAGTGGACACTGCCGAGGATGGTTCCTCGACGGCAGCTCATTATACTGCCAACTATGAGACCATCACGGCGGGAGTGGAAGCCGATAAATTCTACGGCATTCCCCTCAAATTGGACATCACCGATGCTCCCGAGGAAACCCTCATGTATCTGGGCTTGCTGTTGCTTTGGGTTTTGGTATTTCAGCCTCGCCTCAAGTTTCTGCAAGGGCCTCTCATGGGGACAGCATTTTGGATGGCCATTGTCACCGCTGCCTGGGCCATCAAGGAAGTGACCGTCTACCCCATCGTGAGCGCCGTTATCTTTACCAGAACACAATATCCTTGGCCACTCGTTGTCTGCCACTGCATCACGGCCAATGCCGCCTACCGAAAAGAACGTGGACCCACTTGCAATTATCTCGAATCTTTTATATTGGGATTCTTTTGCTACGGTTTTGGAGGGACCATCGTCTCGGATGTACTCATGGGCTTGCCCATCACAGCTTTTGGACATTCTCGGATTGTCCCAGTATGGATTGTGGGATGGATCTTGATTTGGTTCTGTCCCTTTGATGCCGTCTACAAGATTTGTGAAAAGAAGAACAGTTCCCTCTATTACTTTATCAGTGCCATGGTGGCGATTGATGCTGTGACAACTCCTTTTGGCAGAGTGTCACGAAGCGCCCGAGAGTTGAAAAACAAGCTGACAGCGCCCATCATGGCAGGGTTGATGTCTGGCATTGGTGGCGCGGGTGTTCGATACGTGGAGAAAGTCATCTTTCGAGGAGGAGGCGAACGTGTACAGCGGAGTTGCAAAGATGCCATTGAGGCAGGATTCTGGAGGACACTGGGATATTCGGTGTTGTGGTGGTTCATTGCAGTGTACAGGTGTGAAAATGGATCCTATGGCGACAATGCTGCCAACCATTGTCATGAATACAATGGTCACAACATGGATCGTTTTGTCATTACAGTGCTCCATGTGGCATGGAACTTTGCTTGTGATCTGGGCCTTGCTTGGGGGCATCCATTTGTTTTCCTAGCGGCGCTATTGAGAAGCATGGGAAGTCACTTGGCCTACAATCTTGGCTATGGGCCACCACAATTGCACGGTCCTGATTTGTATATGACTGGTGTTCACCAAAAGATGGATTAGAAAACACATCAAAATGCCAGTGGCAGGCAGTATGATGATATCCTCTTTGGGATCTTGAATGTAGCTTCCTTTCCTGTTGTAAAACGAGTTCTTGAGAGCAATCTTGTTTGTAGGTGACAATTTGCGGTCATGATCGGACTCGATAGACCGCCCGAGCCAGGAGGAACAGTGAAGCAACTCTTTCGTGTCGTTTCTACCAAGCCAGTGAAAGGGAGGAAAGCCCTGCAAACCCAAACCCAATGAGCTAGCAAGTCAAATGGAAAAGCAAGGTTTCATTCAAGTTTTGCTATGTCACATTATACTATTCACGTGTCAGCTCAATTTTTGAAGACCTTCTTGATGGGGGAAATAACCAGCTTCTTCAAGCTCCACTTTTTCTGCTTTTGTTCCAATGGTTCAGATTCAATGGGGGCAACCTTTGGCCACTGACGGAAACGGAAGAAGTGGTTGCAGTAGCCAGAAGGATTCTTCGCTAGGTATTGTTGATGTTCTTCCTCAGCAGGATGAAACTCGGTGTACGTCAAAATCCCGGTTTCAATAGTTTTTCCGCTATAGGAAGAGACACTTCCACTGGATACTGCTTGTTGCAGCTCTGCTTTGACTGCCAATGCAATGCTCTTTTGTTGCTCATCCGAGCAGAAAATGGCAGACGCATACTGGGTTCCCACATCATTCCCTTGTCGGTTTTTGGTGGTGGGATCATGGAACATGAAGAAAAAGCGGACCAGTTCTTCCATCAAGGAGGGATCCGCCAGTGTCACATCCAAGACCTCAACATATCCTGAAATACCACTGCAGACTTCACGGTATGTAGGAGGGATCTTGCGCTTCATGGGTGTTGGATTCATGAAGCCAACTTGGGCAGACTGAATGCTATTGGGATGTCTCTTTTGGAAATCGCGGACAATGAATTTTTCAGTTCCCCAGTAGCATCCTGCTGCCAAGCTAATCTTGTTGGACATGTTGCTGGTGTTATCGGTGGTGGTTGGTTGCACAGACATGGTGTTGTTGTTGCTGATGTTGTTGTTCTGGTTGGTGGTTTGTTGATTTGTGAGGGAAAGAGCTTGCAGACACATGAGGGAGGACAGGGAAGGAAAACAGCAGGGGCGCTCGCAATTTCTGTGCGTGGGAAGGAAGCCAGCTCCTGCATCCAGCGAGTAAAGTTTCCTGTGCAGACATTGGCAAACCTACCGTACACCATCCACGAGCTCATCCACGACAACGTGACTGCACGGGCTCTTCGAACCATGACCGGACCCTTCCCGGAGATGAGCCTGCAAAACTGTCTTTGACAGTGCGCGACGGTGGGAAAATCGTGAATGTTTAATCAAGTGGCGAGCAGCGGAATGATCAATTTTTGAAGAAGAAAAAATTGTGGCAAACTCTTGAAGTGGGAGGCGCCTTCAAGTATGTTAGTTGCACCCTGGCGACCCGATCAGATCAATCGATGGCTTCAAAAGGAGGGTTTCCCATTGCATCAGCCAACAACGAAGAAGTCTTTCAAGCCTCAAACCTGTGGTACATGTAAAGTGCAGATTCATCTTCGATTGCTTCCGCACCGATACCGATCCGTACCGGTACCCCGCCAAGTCCCTGCTCCAGCTACCAGTAGCGATGGTTCTTCGAGGATAGACATTTCATGATCGGTGCTACGACAAGGATTCAACTAACAACGATTGTCTTCGTGAAAAGAGGATTCGTACTTATTGGTACCATGCATCAACACGGAAGTCAATCGTATTTTAAGTTCCTTGTTAGTTGGCTGCAAGTACGGGTGGCATTTTCTTTGCAGAGGCAACTCTTGTAGCTCCGTACTGAAACAAGAGAGTCCATAGCAGCATGCAGGCAGAAGAATTCTAGGACTACTTGTTAGCTGAGATGACAGCCATCAACAGAATTTAAATGAGCTGCCGTGGTCGGTATCGGTAGTTCGCATTCAATGGGAACTCTCTCGTTCCGCAACCAGCCAACGATGTGTGCAACGACCAAAAAGGGAACGTGCCAACAAGTTGACGATTTGGCGGCACTCCTGTTGACATGGAAAAACAGCACTCACATTGCAAGAAGTGCAAGAATAATTCAACAATCCATCCAACAGCAAAACCAAAGTCCGTGGAGTGACAGTCGAGCAGTCTAAAATGAGAAAGTACGTGTCACGCCAAGAGAGTACCCTGGGTCGAAGGAGGTCCAATATTCCCAGTTTGGTATGTGCCTTTGCGGCATCGGCCACCACTGGAGGCACCATTTATTGTTTTGGCGTCTTGGCCAATGACCTCAAAAAGGCGCTCCAAATCACCCAAATGCAGCTGGGAGCCGTCAGTGCGGCCTTTTTCATTGCTGGTCTAATTAGCTGGATTCCAGGAATGGTGGTGGACAGAATGAAGATGCGATTCTCCATGTCCTGTGGTGGTCTTTCCGGTGCTACATTTACCACCATATATTGGATTCTATGTCGTAACCCGGGCCTATCTCCGTTTTTCCGCGACCATCCTGTGGCCGTTCTCTCTTGTTTGGCCATTGCCATTTGCCTCAGTTGTGGGTTGATTGTGGGAAGCGTCTTCAAGCTCACACTATTGTGCGGAGGACGCGATGGCAAGGGGCCAGCTGTTGGTATTGCCAAGGGCTTTGTCGGTTTGGGTTCAGGTGTCTACGCTACCCTTTTTCAAGCCATTCGAGATGACAACGAATCTACCTTGGACTTTTTGTTGGTGATTGCCTTCTTTTTCATTCTCAATGCAACCCTTCCAGCTCTATTTTTGCTGCCGCCCAAAGAGGAGTCTCATCCTCGATTGATGAGAATGGAAACTACTCCACTGCACTTTCGCACCATGTACGCAAGCCTGGCAGTCTTGTGCTTGTTCATTTTGGGAAGTGCCATTTGTGACATCTGGAGTGTTAGTGACGATCAACCAAAGGGCAGAAACTTTGGCAATGTACTGATGATCCTCATCCTCTGGCTTGGGCCCATTGTCTCCCTTTTGTACCTACCCCGAAAACGAGAGGAGGAGGAGGAGGATGAATTGATAACCGAGTCAACAAGCCTCCTCACTTCTGGCAACAAAGGAGAGGCGGATGAGGAGGATCAGGGGTCTCCAGGTGACCGTAGCTGGATCCCCGACAGTCCAGAAGAAGAAGTTCTCCCACCGCCACCCAAAGTGCCCAATGTCGTTGTCGATTTCCGAGCAGATCTCAGTCTACCCGAGATGTTGCAGACATCACCGGCTTGGATCATGTTGTGCATTACGCTAGTCCTTGTTGGCTCTGGAACGGCCAAGACTAACAACATGGGACAGATGGTCGAGGCTCTTGGCTTCACCGAGAGTGTGACCCCAGCCACGCTAGCCATTTTTTCGGTAGCACAAGCAGCGGCCCGCATATCGACAGGTATCCTGTCCGAGGCTGCCCTCAAATGGAGCAACGTGAGTGTCCCGTCCTTTATCAGAGCAGAGGACAGCAACGGTGGTATCCCCCGGCCCTTTTTCTTGGTGATTGCCTGCAGCATTTCATTGCTGGCCCACTTGCTGCTGGCAGCCTCGACCGATCTGGTTTCGTTTGTCTTCGGTTGTGCCATTTCAGCAATTGCCTTTGGCATGGCATGGCCGTTGATGGTCCTGATTGTGGGCGACGTCTTTGGAGTGGAGCACCACGGGGCAAACTACATGTTTTTTGACGGGGGTACCAAGGCTCTTGGTACCTTGTTGCTATCAGAGTTTCTTGCTGGATTTGTTTATGAAGCTCATGTCGACAATCAACATCACTTGGATCAGGGAGTCGACGGTATGCTCAACGCCTGTTGGGGCCCGCAGTGCTTCCGAGATACACATCTTGTGATTGCTGGCTTGTCTTTGATATGTATGGTGGCAAGCTTGCTTCTCTGCTATCAAACTCGGTTTGCCTATGGTTCTCCTCTGGCTAGGTGAAAGAGCTGTTTGTGGTTACTAAGAGCAGCGTGAAGCTCAACTCATCTACTGTACCGGTAGAAGTACTGCCGCACCAGTTTTGCTGTCATAACATAAAACGACAAGTTACTTTCTCGAGCAGCGCTTACGGGCTCTCTGAACAGCTCTCTGAACCTAAGACTATGTCAGAGCAGCACAGGAATCTAGTTCAAAGCTCTGTGGTCCCAGACCTCCATCGTCGGCGTGCTTGGGCCGTTCGGCGCTCTGATGCCCACTACCGGTGCTTACTGTCTATGAGGTGTCTTGAGTGGAAAAGTTGTGACAGAAGAACGACATCGGGACACAACACTTGTTCGAAGGCCAAGGTTCCTTGCACGGTAGACGAATGCAAATCAAGGGACAGACTATCAACCTTCAGACTGGGAACTTTATTTCAAGTAGTCTAACCACCAAAGGTCAACCACAGCGAGACCGTGACTCCTACGATGGTACTCAACCATCGAGGCATGACTGATACTGAGGCGCTCAAGCTTGAACCAAGATTTTTGTTGTTGTCCCCTTGGTCCGACTTGCGTGGGAACTGTACGGACGGACTGAGGCTTGGACTGATGCTTGGACTGATGCTTGGACTAGCAGAATTTGTTGGTGTTGCGGTCGGGGGCGGTGCAGTGTTCTCCATTCGTACAATCTTGGAACCGGCGTAACCATCTCCTCTGGAGCCATCGCTGGAAATCAATAGTCGTCCACAGTCATCAAAGCTGACGTCAACCGGCCTGAAACCATCATCCCATCTGGCATCAGGAGGTTCATGCTTCAATAAGTCATATGGATATTCCCCAATAGGGTCGCCATACTCATCCATTTCCACGTAAACAACTTTGTATCCAGTTGGGACGTCCCGGTTCCACGATCCGTGGTAAGCCATGAAAGCATATCCATTCATACTCTTAGGAAAAGCAACGTCAGGAGAGCAAGCGGCAGGGCGATCTGCAGGATCTTTCCATTCATAAAAGGTGATTCCAAGTGGAGCAGAATGACCCTGGAGAGACATGACAGGACGGACTGTGTTGTTTCGGCATTCATCATCTGTAATGGCTCCATCTTCCAAAAACGATGGCCACGCCCAA